TTAATGCAAATAATCCAAGGTGAAAAAATATCAGAATATTAATTAAAGACACTACCCATAGTTCCTGCATCTGCAAGATCCTGCCGCACTAGCCTCCCCCTAATCCTGGCTATAGTGAACCCCAGTGTTACAGAAGAGACATGTTATATATAAGGATTTCTCTGCATGAAATCACTGTGTTTACAGGGCACCACCATGTGTTACCTGAGTGTATCTGCGTATTAATTATCTAAGTGCTACCAGAAGTAAATCAAGAAAATTCCTTTGCATTGTACGTGGAAAGAATAGCTTTATGTTTCTGTGAGTAATAATAATAGTCTCTATATTTTATTGAGTGTTTAGTATGTGACAGCCACTCTCCTAGTCACTTTACATAATTATCTCTTTTAATGGTCACAGTAATCCTATGAAGTAGGTACTGGTTTTAACCCCAAGAGGAGACTGAGGGTCAGGGAGTTAAGTAGCTTGTTTGAAGGTTATCCAGCTAATAAGTAGCCAACCCTGGCTGAAGCTGTAATTTATCCATACAAAGTTGAAACATCACTCATTATTTGTCTGAATCCTTTTAATCCATTATTAAATCTAGGTCAGTATAGTTTAAAATGTGCTTTATGCACCCAGGATGGTTGTAGAAGTTTGTGTGATGATCTACCACCGAACAACTTTACGATGGAATTGCTAAGATTTAGTCTGTGTCCTATAAGACTTGGGCATACAATTCCAGAGGTATGTCAATAGGAGCAACTTTCTCCACCACCACATGGCTTTCTGGGTTCACCTGCTCTACTTTCTCCCTTGTTTTGTGGCATTTCTTAGTGGGAGAAAGAGAAACACAGAGAGATGGGTGATGAAGATGTTAGTGATGGTGGTGAGGATGGTGGTGTGGTGGTGGCAGTGGTGGTGGTGATAATGGTGGTGATGATGGTAGCAATGGTGGTGGGGGTGGTGGTAGCAATGCTGGTGGTGGTGATGGTACCAATGCTGGTGGGAATGGTGGTGGTGCTGGTAGTGATGGTAGCAATGGCGGTGGTGGTTGTGGTGGTGGTGGTAGCAATGGTGGTGCTGGTGCTGGTGGTGATGATGGTAGCAATGGCAGTGGTAGTGGTAGTGATGGAGGCAACTAATGTTATTTGAAGACTTAGTATGTACCAAGTACTGTACTGAGAGCCTTACTAGAGTTATTTACTTTCACCATCAAAAAGCCCATGAAACGCTGATGAATCCCCATTTTCTGATCAGGAATTTCAGTCTTTGAAAATATAGGTAATTTGCCCAAGATTACAAAACAAGAGAGAAGACAAGTAAGGCTCTGCTCTTAATGACTACACTGTAGAAAGGAAGAAAGAAAGACTAACTGGCAGAGTCTCAGATCAGCCTTGCAGCTCCTCCTAACTAGAACTTTCAGATCCAGTTTCAGCTACTACAGAATTCCCCAGTTTTCCAAGGGACTTCCTTTAGACGGGCAGCCTTTTGGGTTTTAGCTCCGAAACGTTCACAGAATTATCCCCTTTCCTTTAAAGGGGCCCTGGGTATGATGATTTTATTTCTCTAGTGCATTTTTAGGATTAGGGTGACCTTATTTAGAAGTTTCCAATTCATATACCTGAACTAAGGGGAGGCTGGCAAAGGAGTCATGATTATACTTATTTAGTCCATGTTGTCAGCTCACCATTTTACTTTTAAGGGTTTAGAGTGCATTGTACCCAAATTTTAGTGTCCCAGGGATATATCTGGAAAAGGCACACCTGAACCCAAGACAAAACAAAATGGGGAGACCTTAAAATGTGTTATTTCCTCTTTTGAAGAATCGTAACCCATCTGCTTTATTAGCATCAGTCTCCAATAAAGCAGACCTGAAAAATAAGAACCATATGAACACAAGCAGAAACAACCCAGATACCCAGCAATGGGCTGATAAACATGTAACCACTGGCTTTCTGGGAGGGAGAAGGCCCTGGCTTGTGGTGTTTGCCAATTTCCACTGTGTAAAAACTCCCACCAAGGCCTATTTCTAGCTGTCAATGTGATATCCTGAATGTGGAGTTGGAAAGAGGGGCTCCAAATCAGCTCTCATGACCAGCACACTCTTGTACCGCCCTCGAGAGGGGCAATTAGACGATCAGCTGTTTCAGTGCAGTGCCTAATGCTGAAGGACTGCCTCTTCTGGACTCGCCAGCTGTGTGACCTTGGGCAAGTCACTTCACCTCTCTGGGCCTTTGTTTCCTCCTCTCCAAATGAAACTACGGGAGCTGTTTTTCACCTCTAACATTTTAAAGCTCTAGAAGGCAGTGACTCTTGCTCTCTCCGACATCCAAATGCCTTTAAGCGCCTTTCTGGAAAACCAAGTTAGTTAGCGCTGTGTGCCTCCAACTTCATCTACTGAGCATAAGGTTTGGAAAGGAGTGACTTACTCCCTTTTGCCTCTTTAAATGCGTAGCCAATGGGGCATCATACATTTTTTACACTTCTTGTGCTAGATGTGAGATCCAGGAGGAAAGGCATGGATGTTCCAGGGCTTGCGTGTTCTCCTGGGGTGGGAATCTGCAAGCGTGACACACTGAGCCATTGCTGTATGCGTTTCCTACCTCCCTACCCTTTCAGTAGCAGAGAAAGAGTATTGATAGCATTCCACCTTTTTCCTTTTGTTTTTATCGTTTACTTTCTAAAAGCCATTTACAAGAACTGGAATCACTTATACAAAATGAGGACAGGGGTGGGGGTGGAGTGGGGAGGGTCGTTATTTTTCTCCCCCCTGAAAGGTGGCACGTCTCTCAGCAAAGAGAAAAAGGCATGTTGCACAAGGCTTGCTGGCAGTGATAGAAGCCAGCGCCGGTTTGCCTGTTGTCACAGCCAAAGCAAAATGCCACCTCTGCCTAGAAGCCAGAGTGCCACATTCCTCTTTTGTGTCCCTGAGATGCACCCGTCATGTGGCCCTGGGTTTGTAGGTTTGGCCAGGAGGTCCCCATGCTCTTCGAAGGTCATCTTCCAACCCCAGGAAGTAGGGTAGAGGGGCGAGCGATGCTTGTGACGCTCAAATTATATTATTTGAGTCCCCAGACTACATGTCAGATGAAGCCAGCAAACAGCCTTTAAGGGCTGCGGTGATTGCACAGTAGCCCCCGGTTGCTGAGAGTGAGGTAGGGCTGCAAAAACACCAGTGACCCGGTGATATTTCTGTCCCCGGACCCCTTCTTAGCAAACCCAGATGCACTGACAGCAAAAGCTCCAGAATCCCAAGACAGGAGGTGCCAAAAACACTCCCCAATAATCACTCCCTCTGTCCCCCCACCACCACCAAAAAAAAGTTTCAGTAAGATGTTCTCACTCCTAGAGGGAAAACCTGTCCATGCCTGAAGCAGCTTGACCCGGGTGAACCCCACCCCCCCCAGCCGCCTACATGGAGTGAACTGTGAATCGCAAGGGAAAAAATCCCCACCCCCCACCCCGCCTGCTCCCTGGGGAGGGACAGAAGGTTCCTAAAACTGACAGTTTCGCCTCCATGATCTTTAAAAGAGCAGAAGTTGGCTGTGAGGCTGGAATACCGCCTTGATTGGGGTAGTGTGGTCTCTTGCGGCTGGGCTCCAAAGAGCCACAATTGGCTCTTGAAGAGGAAGGAGCCTCGAAATGAAAGATTGCAAAGAGGGCTTCTGAACGCCATGGCTGAGACTGTGTCGTTTCTTACAAGGTGAAACTTGGCAGTTCTACCTTGCAAGTAAAAACCCAAATTAATTTTTTTTTAAAGAAATTAAGTCAGAAACAAGGCTTTAGAAAAACTGTGAGTGTTAGGCATAAACTGATTTTGGATGATCTCTAGGTGAGAAAGGGTGGAGTTACCATCAGAAACATGTTTTTATTTATGCTTTTCAAACCCCGCGCTGGTGTGCAGTGTGTGCGTGTGCGTGTGTGCGCGCACGTGTGTGTGTGTGTGTGTGTTGGTTAGCATGAGAGTATGCATCGCCTCGATTCTATAACCACTCTTTTTTTCATGCATCTTTGCTGTGCACAGTTCATATAGATGCCCCATAAATAAATATATAGGTCCATCCACACCTTTTCATTTTATTTGTAAATTGTTTGGTATAAGCGGCAATGCGTAATGAAACCTGGTGAAGTTTAAAAGATTAGATTTTTTTTTCATACTGACACTTCATAACACTGTTCATATGTCTCCGAGTGAGATTTATGAATATATGAGCAGTATTGCAAAATTATACCGCACCAGAGACTTCCTGCACCACAGGGGTGGCAGTCTAAAGTGACACAGCTTCAAGCATTTTTCACAGACAAGAAGCAAAATTTAACCCCCTTAAGGGGAAGTATGATTTCAACAGCTTGAAATGAGCTCATTTGTAGATGTTTTTTTTTTTCTCTCATCTTCCATAATTTTTTGGTGTTAAGATTAAAACAGATTGCATAGCCAACGTAAGGGGCATACACGCTGCCCAGAGTATAATTTGGCCCTTCGAGTGAAAACTTCATTGTCTCTATCCCAGTGCCAATACGGTAAATGAAGGTACACTTCTCCCGTAAGGTGTAAGGCTCACAGCCGGATTCCCAGGATTGTCCTAAGCACACAGGGTCTGGAGTTTTTTCAAAAGGTAAGTAGCAGGTGACATCCATTTGTTCAGTAGAGAAGCCCCCATCTCCCTGGGCATCTGACAGGGTGGCATTAGGAAATAGTGACTTGAATCTCAGCTGAGTAAAACTAACGAACAAAAAGGAGAATCAGAAGAGCAAAAGATGGTCCATGTGAATTGATCGCATATGAGATGTCTAGGGCAGAAGAGTTCTGTTTTGGATGCAAAGTCCAAACCCATTTCTTTCAGGCCGATCGGTACCTTGTGATTTTGTGTCAGTCAATGTTCACAATGTCTATGCTCTCCACTTCTCTTTAACCATTTAGTTTCTCCTTGGAGCAGAGCAGGTGCTCAAACGTGACCTGTCCCCTCTGTAAATGCTTCGTGACGTGTTGGCTGGAGAACTTTTGTCTCTTTTTTCAGCAATGGTACAACAGCTCCATGAATGTGATCTGCACCTGGTTGACAGACCGGATGGACTTACAGCTTCACATTTATCAATTGAAAACACTAATTAGGATGGTAAAGGTAAAAGAAAAAAAATCATTATTCTTCTTTGCAAATAGCTTACTGAAATACATTTCGTTGTCAAGCTGCAGAACTTCCTTAACACAAAGAATATTGGTTTACCATGTAAAACAAGATGATCTTTAAAAGAGCATCTCACGCGAGAAAAGCCTCTGCAATCACGTTGGGATGCATGGTTAATTTATTACTCAGACATCAAGGGGGAAATTGATAGGAAGGAATTCGATATTTTATTCAGGCCAGAAAAAATACTTTATGTATCTGTTGTGCAAAAATACTGCAGGGGCCGCCATGCCCTGTGCATTAGACTTTCAGAAGCTGGCTTTTGGTACCGTTATGCTAATCACATCAATCACCAAATTCATTTCTGGTTTAATTAAATTAAAATTTTGCCACAATTAATGTAATAGAAATATTTACCTCCAGCTATTTCTAAATATGTCCTGTGATCATTATCAGGATGCAAATCAATATTGTTCTCAGAGTTAATTGAAGTAGTTTCTCGTACAATGCGTGTGTACAGTCAAATGGAAAGGATCACAAAGGTGAGATAACATACCCTGAAAGTAGCTTTTTTCCCTGTTCTTATGTGTGTGCCTTGGACTAATGATAATTATTTCAGCGTGAAATCTCAGTGGTTTACATGAAATAATAAGATCACAGAAGGGGGTAAATACGTTTTTGATCATTTCAGTTTCCATTTGATGCTTCCCCCATAGAAGGTTTTCAGACATTCGGGTGCAAAAAATCTCATTCAGACGCACAAAGTGTCTTTAAAAATATTTTAACAATAAAAACCTAGCTGAATTTCTGTTTCTTAGCAGTTTTCCAGAAGTCCCCCACCCCCAGCTCTACCCCCTCGCCCCCCGGCCCCTCATCCCCTACCCCGCCCCACTTCTTAGTCTCTTTAGGATTAGCACCATTTCATTGAAGGTGCTCCTCTACCCCAGTGCTGACTTAAAACCAATTACTGTTCCGTTGAGTGTAATTAAAGAGAATTATTATCTGCATTTGATCTCACAAAGTGTCTGCCCAGGGAAGGTTATAAACAGCCATGTATTGCAGCTCTTAAAAAAGAAATTGTATGCACTTGGACTGGAGACCAAGCCTACTTTTCATATTTTTAAAATTTCACTTCCTGAAGACAAGCTCACCAGCCATTGCCTCACCACTTAAATTCCACTGGGAAAAAAAAAAAAAAAAGTTTCTCTTCTTTAGGGAAATTTTCTTTTGACACTTACTGGGTGGACATGAAAAGATACTCATTTTAATGTTTTAAAATATCTTCCCATTACCGATATTTCTAGATCTATGCTGGGAATATTGGAATTAGCACTGTTTAATTAAGGGAAAAAATGTAAGTCAGAGAAGAGGCTTATTCTTAGCCTTCTACCAAAAAAAAAGCAAAAACAAAAACAAAAAAAAACAAAAAACAGAAACATGAACCACAGGGAAGGGACACAGAAATGCCACTGCCAAAAGAATGCCTTCACTTTTGCCAGAGTTAGGCCCAGCAAAACTTGTATGGCTGTACAGAGGTATGAAGCAGAATTCACCACCTCTTCACCAAGCACGTTAACCAGAGGTGTCCTTCTCTGAGGCAAATTTCCAAACATTGTTGGCTTTGTTTCCTCCCTTCACATCCACTCCCTTCACCCATCCATTCATTGATTATTCAGCAAGCATTTATTCACCCATCCGAATAAGACAAATATTAATTGAGTCCCTCCTTGTAGATTACAAGATGACGAATTTAAAAATGACTGGATACAGTCCCTGTTTGTAGGCACTTAGAGTTGAGTTAGGAAACACTGCTCTAGAATGTGAATAAAGGAGAGAATATCCAAGTGCTTTCTACCTTTTTCTTTCCCATCATATCCTGGTACCAATTATATTATCCTAAGCGGAGAGAGAACAAATCATTGAAAAGTAGAAACAAAAAAAGTTCATCTTCTGGATATCTGGTCTACACCATGCCTAGAATTTACTCAGCCTCCTACCCTTTCCCATCAAAATGAAGACAATTCAGGTAGCAACCTAGCTACCTAGAGAGCCTTGCAGCTTGATCCACACTTTAACTAAGTGTCAAAGTGGAAAGGGGGAACACAGTCATCCTATCCATAATCTGCTATTATTGGACTTCACTGAGCTGATCCTCATTCACTAGTTAACCCTGCAGTCATCACAACATGTAACCTTCAAGAGGGGTTGACATTGTGATTGTTGACACTATGATTGCATTAGCTGGATGACAAGAAACGGAAGTCACAAATGGGAGTGCACTGAGGATGTTAACATTCCTCCTCATGCTCCTTCGGCAAGTGTCCCGTATCAATAGAAGAAACACACAGCAGAATCAGTAGCTGAAATGATATGCAGCGTGAGGAGAAAAGTTGTTAGAGAGAGACCTTTTTCCAAAAAAAAAAAAAACGTTAAGAAGTAGACAACAGCCAGATGCTTCTGGTCATGTTCAATTAACGCTAAGGGAATTCTAGAAAGAAAAAAAAAAACAAAAACAGTCCCTGGGATACCTCAGGAAATCCGAGAGAAATCGCCTGAAGGAACAAAGAAAGAATTTGTGGTCCCATAATACCAAGCCATTGTTCTTGAAAAAGAGCCAAATTTCTTCCCCGAGACCATGAAGTTGTGAACAGAATAGATACGCTTCTTTCCCAAGGAGATAAGAAATGAATCACATGCCTGCAACATATTGGTGAGGCATTAGCGTTCCATCTCCCCATAATTGTTGCTGCCCGTAATAGGTTTCATATACCAACATACATATGTCCGTCTTGTGAATGAGGCAGAGGGATGTGCCGTTATGAGCCTCAAAAATATTAAAGACCAGACTGCGAAGGAAATCACAAAATACCATAATCGCTTGATCCATTATTTGTTTATGTGTTACGGCCCCTTACACAGTCTATCATATTATATTACGTTAACCTAAGAGAAAGAACCAGCCCTAGGAAAAAAAAAAAAGAATCAAAACAATTATGGAACATTTCCCTTTATGGAACTGAATAAACACAAGCTTATGTTCTTTGCTTTGTCTCAGCTAATACAGTTTATCCTGCCACACTTTCTCATTTTCTGTCATTCAAAGGATCTCAGTTTTGAGTACAAGTAAAATCTGAGCACAGTGGCTTTTCATTTGACAGTGCATTAAGTGAGACACTGAGCAGAAGGTCAGTGCTCTCACACGCACATGTGCTTTGTGCCTTTCCCCTCCCTTCATGGAGATGAGATCTCGCTTATCACTCATCTTTTCCCTCCTCAGAAAACCTATAGAGATTTCCGATTGCAAGGGGTCCTGGACTCGACCTTAAACAGCAAGACATATGAAACCATCCGGAACCGGCTCACTGTGGAGGAAGCCACTGCATCAGTGAGCGAGGGTGGGGGCCTGCAAGGGATCAGCATGAAGGACAGCGACGAGGAAGACGAGGAAGATGACTAGAAGGCAAGGGCCTGGAGTCCTTTAGGACGAAGTCCTGTAATCAATGCATGTCCTTAGTCTGTTAGTTAACCCCAGTAGGGAACTCTCTGTCAACTACCATGCCCATGAGATGTTTACCAATACAATTGCCATTTTAGCTATGTGGTACAAAGATTAGCAAATGACCTTCCACCCCACTGATCCCCTGATTCCGTGTCTATATGTTTACAAGCAATATGGAGCACCATTCTTTAAATACCGTTCATGGAAAATACATAGTCCAACTGCTAAGTGTGGTCCTGTTCTCAGCAAAGTTAAATGATGCTTCATTAATGTACTGTGTATGCACTGATGGTAAATGGACATGAGGGTGAGTACAGCAAGTATTTCACTTCTTCATTTCACGTTACGTGGATGCCGGTCATATAAATGAGTACAATAAATTAAGACACATAGATCTGCTTTGTTTTTTGGAAACAAAGGCAAGCCTCCAGCAAGCAACCTTTGGTTCTTTGTGCTCCCCTGAAACTGAAAAAAGAACCCTTGTTTCCATTGTTAACTCCTCCTTTCCCTGATCCATATAGTTAGCCAAAAAAATACAAAAACCAAGATGGCTAGATACCAATGGGTTGATCCTCTCATTTGCCACGGCAAGGGTGATCCTACCATGAGCGAACACCAAGCACAGTTCAGAGCAACCTTCGTCTGTCAAAGTTTATCCTCTTAAATGTTACATTTTGCTTTTATGTTTCAATAACTATATATGTAAAAACACCTGAATATTTAAGTTACAACCCTAGACTATCAATGCGTTTATAATAAGGTATGGATATTTCCTTCGGTAGATTGTCACCATAATTTAAATTATTTTGTTCCACACTGGTTTTTATATCTGTCATGTACATTGCATTTTGATCTGTAATTGCAGGACCTGGGGGTCCTTTGCAGAGCAATCTCTTTCTGTGTAAAGTAGTGCACCCCATCTTGCTTTTGCCTTATATAAAGCCTACAGTTCTGAAAGTGTGAAAAACTGTGGCTTCTCAATAAATAACCATTCAAATGTCCTAAGGCTTCCGAGTCTTCTTGCCTCTGTCTTTTTGGAACGCCAGAGCTGAAACACACGCCAACCGGGCAGAGGAGGTCAAGAGCAGGCTAGAGGTCATTTCCTTGAGACTCTTGGAAGGGTGGTTTTCAAATGCTCGTCTCCACAAAAGGCAGCCCAAAGCCCCACTCATTCAGACTCCAGTCATTCAGAGCTGTGGGCATTTGGACACGTTGGGCAGATTACGCTTCCATTATAGGATAAATACGGGTGTGCTAAGCAAGAGAGGAGTGTAAACGAGAGAAATGTTTCTCCTGTACGAAAAGAAGGCCAACAAACTGTTTTTAAGCACTACTTTAACAGCAGTGTTTGCATTCAAACAAAGCGTGTGCCAATTATATATGATTCTTATATATTTGTTAAAGCATCTTACAAGATTGTCGAAGATATGGAGCACTCTTCTTGCTCCCCAGTTCTTGTCAGCAAACATAATCACCTAGGTGTGAAAGAAATCAAACATTTTGCAGCCTTACCGGTCTTATTTGCATCTGTCGCTAAAGCCAGCTGACCTTTCCTGGGGGCTGACTGGGGTTTTAGAGAAGTGACAGATTTTTCAATAGGACCAGGTAGACCAGTTGCTCTCTACCAATGAACTCCTCTAAAGAGTACGTCCTACTTTTTTGAGTCCTTAAGGTCTGCAGGGACAAATCAATAGCACTTCCTGCCTTTAGTGGGATTACAAAGATAACTCCCATTTATTGAGCAACTTTTCTGCACCAGGCATTCTCTATATAAATCTTCATTCAGATCTCCCAACAACCACAAGAGGAAAGGACTGTTATTATCTTCCTTAGAAACAAATTGAGGTCACATAGGTTAAGGCCACTTGCCCAGTGATGACACATCTCCATACAGAAATATTCCAGAGACACTAGCATAGAGTTGTCAATGCAAATGGCGGGGGCATATCATTCAGGTGTGAAAAGTCTTTGATTACCCAATGGCACCAAGGTAAGTCAGCGTGGCAAAGCCAGAGTTTCTGAAAAATATACTTGTATTATATTTTTAGCTGCAAAGCTAAAATACAGCTTTTGCAACAATTACAAACAATTAAGAAATGTGCCAAGTAAATAGAGAGCGCCCGCACAGTGTATAGTGTGGTTGAGAAGAAGAAGAAATGCTTTTAGGGGGAGAGCTACATGAGTTAGAGAACTAACCAAAGGGCATGATCCAAAAAGCAGAAGGAGAAAGAGGCAAGTGTGTAAAGATGGTACTTTCAAAACCAAGGTTAAAAAAAAAAGATTCCTTCAAAAGGAGAATTTCCCACAGGCCAGCACTGAGGGGACTGTTGAATAGCATCCCCCAGGTGGCATCGCTGTTGGAAAGGCTGTGCAGAAGGAAATGATATCAGGTAAGATCATAGAGAAAGAATTCCCCAAGTTTTTTAAACCTCAGGTTATCCTTGCCATAAACTTAAAGCCAAGGAGACCATTCTGATACCTTGAGCTTTCTTTTTTTACTTCTGTGGGACAGAATCTTAAGCGTTCTCTTCTTTCCTGTGTGGTGGTGGTGGTGGTTTCATTAAAATGCAACAACATACAGAAGAGTGTACAAATCCTAAGCAAAGAGGTCAATGATTTGACCTGAACAGAATGAACACACTTGTGGAAAAACTGGCCAGTCAAGAAATCGAACATAATGAGCACCTCCAGACATACATACCCATGCCCATGGCCCTTCCCAATCCCTACCTCCTCCCTAACTCAACAAAGGTAACCACTATCCTGATTTCTAACAGTGTCAATTGAATTGAAGCCCTTAGGTAATTAGAATCACAGTATATATTCTTTCAAGTATAGCTTCTTTTTGCTCTACATTCTACTGTTGGTGTAGCTATAGTTCATTTCTTGTCAGTGCTCTGTAGTATGAATATATCACAATTTGTCCTTGTTCACGTGTTGTATTTAGTTGGGGGCTATCATGAATAATGCTGCCATGAATTTCTTCGTACATATCTTTCAGCACAGTTGCAGGGTCATGGGGTAAATATATGTTCATTTTTAGGAAATCCTGCCAGTCTTCCACAGAGAGCAAACCACAGACTGCTCTCATCAGCAGAGTATCAAAGTCCCATAAAACACCAGGTATCGTCACTGTTTTTAATTTACATTGCTCTGCTAAGCAGTGTAGTGATTTATAACTGTAGTTTGCTGATTACAAATAGAGACTTGATTGCCTCTTAACGTGTATTGGCAACCGGGTTAGCCTCTCTTGTGAAGTTCATGTTTAAGTCTTTTTTTCCTTTTGCTTCAAAGAGGAAAATTCCAGAGTTATTTGAAGGACTGGTAGGGAAGAGGCCATAGGAAAAAGTGCCAGATGGATGGTGAGACATGGAGACGTAGAGAGAAATGTGAACCTGATGGGAAAGCACTCACTGTATTATCAATCAGCCCACAAATAGTTGAGTACATAGTGGCCAAGCAGTGCTAGAGACATGCAGGCTCTCTCTAGTGCCTTCCCCTTCATCAACCAGGGGGACTTTTCTAAAAGGCAAGCGTGATTTAGTTCCTCCTCCAATTAAAAGCATCCAGTGGCTCCCCTTGGTCATAGAATGAAGCTCAAATTCGCTAAGGTGGCATGCATGGCCACACACGACCTGACCCTTGCCTCCAGCCTCCTCTGTTAACTCTGCCCTTCTGGCTCCCTGCGTTTCAGCTACCCCTACCAACCTTCACTTCCACCTGCACACCTCGATTCTGCCCCCTTGGGAGCCTCCCTCCAGGTACCTCGTCTCACCCTTCAAGTCTCAGCTAAATTTGACTTCCCCAGAGAAGCCCCTCCAAACCCTACTCTCAGTTCAGCATCTATGTCCCTGATAGATACTCTCCTAACACTCTCTACTTCCCTTTCTTTGTATTCATCTCACTACTCATGGATGGGTCTCTGCATCATTACATGTCTCATGCAGCTTTTCTCCACTTGAGGAGGCTGTGGTCTGCACCCTCTTCCCTATTCTATCCTTATCGTACTAGCTAAATATATGATTAATAAGTGAAGCCTGAACATACAAAATTGTAGATGATGTGGCGACTATTCTCTTCAAACCTTTAGGTTTTATGAATCTTCAGAAGCTTTGTACAGACCCCATGCTCTAAGATGCAGAGGAGGGAGAAGAAAGGGAAGACTTCCTGGAGGAGGTGGGCCTAGAAAAGCACACAGAGAGGACAAGAAGGAACATGGACCAAAGCAGAGGGAGGTGAGGGGGATGTACCTCTTGGCCGAAGCTCTTTTCTTCTCTGATAAATTCCCAGTGCAAGTAGTAAACACTCAACAAATACATGTTGACGTAAGATGTTAATGAATATGCTCAGTGTGTTAGGGGAGCCTGGTCTCAAAAAGACATTAATGCAGGGGGTGTGGGGAGAATAGGATGGGAAGAGTGGATTCAGGATTCACAGAAGGACTTTTCGTTTAGGTGAGCTTGGGTTTGTTGGGCTAAACAACAGAGCTAAGCAATTCTTATTTTTTTCAAAATATTTAAAGAAGTTTTTTAAGTTAAAAAAAATCAAATAAAGTAGAATTTATGAAACAAAAAGTTGAAGCCTCTCCCTTCCCCAACCCATTTCCCCAAAGTAGCCATTGCTAACAGATGGGCATATATTCTTCCAAATATGTTCAAATCATATCCAATATCCAATTGGATATATTTATATATTTTATATATTTATATATTTTTAAAATATATTTTCACAAGTGGGATTCATCCTGAGCATACTAAGGCAAATCACATTTTTCATTTATCAGTGTGGGATCATTTTTCTGTCTGCACATATAGATTTTCTGTATTACTTTTATGGGTTGCACTGTATTCAAAGAGGTTTTCTGGTCAAAGAGGAATCGAGAGTGAAGTTAGGTAAACTGAAAATCCAGGGCGAAATGAAGGATGGACAAAACATACTGGCAGAAATGAGCCCTCTGTAGAAGTGACCCATGGGACTGTTTGAAATACGTGGCTCAAGAATTTCTGAAACACCCCACATCTAATCCCAGCCTAACTGAACTGTATTATAATTATCTGTTTATGTGTCTGTCTCTCTGCCAGACTGCCAACTTCTTGAAGTCAGGGACTGTATCCATTTGTGTGTGCCAGTCTGGTGCCTGGGATCCAGTAGGCATTCAGTAAATGTTGGCTGCATTGAATGCGTGAGCAGCAGAAAGGCACACCTGAGTATGATCAGGACCAAGAAAGCATAAACTAAATGGATCACAATATACTCTGTCCAGGAAGAAAGACTTACTAAATAAGGGGAAGAATCTCAACAGCTTTAGAAAAACCATCTACCTCACCACTAACGTGACCTGAATTTCCAGCACAGGCATGAAGTCACGCTGTCATAAATTTGGGTTTCTGTGAGAATGTTAGGAAATCAGCCAACAGGAGGTGTATCATTATTGCTTCTGCACAAATGTTAATCAAGTTTATTTTCCTTAAATTTCAAAATCCAAAGTAAGCGTGTTCTTTGTGGCCGATGTTTATCAGTATGTGATTAACCAATCTGAAATGAAATCAGATTATGCTCAATTGTGCCATTCTTCGTCAACAAAGTTTTAAAAATCAATATTCATCTTTTATTCAAGGTTGTTTTGCTTCTTCAACTAAATACTATAATTATCATCTGTTTTCCTTCTTATGAAGCCTTCATAAGAAGCCTTCCTTCTTATGCATTTCATCTAAAGCTGTAAATCTACGTTTGTTGTAAGCAAAACACCAGGAAAGGACCACGATGGTACAGTCTGTCAGCGAGCCCTCTACCCTGAGGACAGCACGCCTAAGGTCAGAGAAAAACACTGCACAGCAAATCAATCTCAGCCACCAGCTAACAGAGGGATAACGTGATCACAGTTAATACACCAACCACAAAATAACAGGAATGCAAAGGAAACAATAAGCCAAAAGTACACAAGTAAATGTTCTTATTTCCTAAGAATCACTGGTGCAATGGCACAAAGAATTGTAAACAT